TAGTAGCTAGAGGAATCCGTTTTGATTAGATTTTTTATATAGTAGAAAGAAGAAATGAAATTAAAATTTTTGTTAAATTCTCTTAGGGGTAAACTTTAAAATTTACAAAAGAAATAATAAAAGGCCAAAAGAGTGAGACCACTTCAACACTCTTTAAAAAGAACGAGACCACTTCAACGTTCTATAAAAATAAAAAAGGCCAGGCCAAATAGAGTGAGACCACTTCAACACTCTATAAAAAAGAACGAGACCACTTCAACGTTCTAAAAAAATAAAAAAGGCCTAAAGATATAAAAAATATACAAAGGCCAAAAGAGTGAGACCACTTCAACACTCTTTAAAAAAGAACGAGACCACTTCAACGTTCTAAAAAATAAAAAAGGCCAAAAGATATAAAAAATATACAAAGGCCAAAAGAGTGAGACCACTTCAACACTCTTTAAAAAAGAACGAGACCACTTCAACGTTCTAATAAATAAAAAAAGGCCAAAAGATATAACAAATAAAAAAAGGCCAAAAGAGTGAGACCACTTCAACACTCTTTAAAAAGAACGAGACCACTTCAACGTTCTAAAAAATAAAAGGCCAAAAGATATAAAAAATAAAAAGGCCAAAAGATAAAAAATAAAAAAAGGCCAAAAGAGTGAGACCACTTCAACACTCTTTAAAAAGAACGAGACCACTTCAACGTTCTAAAAATAAAAGGCCATAATAAAAAAAATAAAAAATGGCCAATAGAGTGAGACCACTTCAATACTCTATAAGTAAGAATTCCGACCCCAACGGGGCGGGGTACAGGGTTTATCCGTTTGCCCCCATGCACCTCCACGTGGTGTACCCTGGGCATTGTTATATATATTTAAAACTTTTCATAGTTGTAATTATTTGTTTTTTTCGTTTGTTATGAGTTAGTGTACTAATTATATAACAACGGCTAAGCATGGTTAAAAACGGATTGTATCTTATAGTACACTGTTATTACTTAGTTTTCCTTATTTTTAGTCGTTCTACCTTCTTTTTATATTTACTTTTTTGTAGTAAGTAGTCGAGTAGTAAGTAGTCGAGTAGTTTTGTAGTAAGTAGTCGAGTATTTACTTTTTTGTAGTAAGTAGTCGAGTTTCCTATATTAATAGTTTTTTATTTTAGTTCGTGCTTAATTGTGTTTGTTTTTTATACTTTTACCTTAAAATCTTAAATTACAAATTTTTTTCTTTTTCAGATAACAAAAAATTTACTTTTCAACCAAACTATAATAATATTTATTTTACTTTCAATTTCAATTCAACAAAAATAACAACAATTTACAGACCAAATTTTCTTTGGTAATATTTTGTTTCATACCTCCCACCCTCCAATGTTTCTCACAACTTTTTCATTCTTTAGTCTGTTATCGGTAATAAAACTCATGAGATGTGTCAAATGATACCAAAATCAACTTCCATCACACCATCACTTCCACTTCCCATCACACCCTTTCCTTTTTTATCTAAAATGTTAGATTTTTTGGTTTTAAACAGAGTTGGGCTCAAGAGGAAATTTTAATAAACACAGCCGGAACGTACCGTACTACTGCCTTATTTTTCAGTAATTATCGGCCATAATTACTATTTATCGGTAATTATCGGTCATATCCTTCCAGATATTCTTAATCCTCGGTATCCTTCCTGAGATCAGTATTAATCACGATATTATCCACATCCCTTTTATTCTTTCGATATTCCATCGAATCCGCTAAGATGACTTTCCATAATGCGGTCCTACAGCTAACTGTGAGGACATATATTTATGTAAAGATGATTCCACTATTTTACCCATATCATTTATTTGTCCACACAGAGAACTTTGAGGACGACAACTTTAATCTTATAATCTCGTTGTTGAGAAAATTTGTCCACACAGGGAACTGTGAGGACGATTAGTTTAAATTTCCTAGGGCTACACTTCTTTTCAAATACCTTTTGCTTCTATTGTCCGCGCAGAAGACTGCGAGGACAACAATTTAAATGTTGCTTGGTCCGTTGATTCCAACTATTGAGTTTGTTTTGTCTTCACAGATGACTGCGGGGACCATTAGTTATGATGTTCAAGTTGATACAATTTACCCAATACTTTTCGCTTCCGTTGTTCACATAGAGAACTATGAGAACGTGAATTTTTCAAAAATAATTATATTGATTGCAAATATCCTTTCCTCTCCATTTCTTCTTTTCCGAATTTTTTTTTCTGCTGTCCTCGCAATGAAATGTGAGGACGTAATTTTGATTGACAGATAATTACATTATTTGCCTAATATCTTTTCTTCTCTATTGTCTGGACAATTTACAGTGAAGCTGTTGTAGTTTGTCAAATCCAGGTTAATAGAATTCTCTGGCTAATGTTGATCAAGTGTGTTGAGTTGAATTTGAAATACATAATGAATTTAAAAATTTAATTATATAAATTACAAATAATGGGTACAAAATCAATAGATAAATATAAATATGAAACAAAGGAAAGATAATTTAAAATTAAATATTAAAATTAAATTCACTTACCTTACCTGATTGTTCCGTATTTGTATTGATTCCATGTTGCATATGAGAGATGTTTCATTTTGTGTAATTAATTGATAGTGATGTCCTTATGTTGTCGCAATATTCGCTGTTAGCCAGTAACGAGACTAGACTAACGTAACACTCAGGAAGTAGTTGTGGATAAAGCTGCCAAGATGAGTTGGGTTGTTGGTCTCCGAGATTTCTTTTAATTCTGATGCTGAAGAATCAATTTTATTTGATAGTTGTTTGTTCATGTCGGTCTTAGAAAAGATACCGACTTAGTTTTGTAGTTGGCCCTAACCTAAGAACGGGCTTCTGTATCTCTACCATTAGTAGAAGTCTTTGCTTCATGTTGTAGACCATAAGCCATTTTGTAAGATATCTCCTCTTGGACTAGTTGTTTTAATTTGTCTCTGAACATTTTCGTGTTCCATGCTGGGTTGTCACGTTTTGCTTCCTTGATTTCTTTTAGCATTGAATAATTTAATTTGTCCTCCAAAGAGGAACAAATAATAGGATTATTTAACTCAGCTCCGAGAGCTTCGAGTTGTCTGCAAATTAATTCAATTTCAAGTTGAAATTGTCGGACGTCTGAAAACGACCAACAGGGTTTTAGAGCAAGGAATTGTTGAATCAGGTCGTCGGTGATTGCTTCCTTGTCATCATATTTCTCTTTCAGCATGTCCAATGCAATCTTATAGTTATCGGCCGAAGGCCTAAAATAACGTACAAGATTCAATGCTTCTCCTTCCAGAAGTCCCAAAAGGTGATTGAACTTGTAAATAGGTTCAATATTCGAATTTCCCACAGTTGCATTAAAAGATTCTATAAACTCATGCCAGTGTCGAATGTTGCCGGAGAATTTCTTTGGTGGTGCCAGTATGGGGAGAGAGACCTGTTGCACAGTTTGATTCAGTGATTGGTTCGTTTGGTCTATGCTTCGATTCAAAAATTGAGTTGACTCACTTCTTTGACATATTGATTCCAATACAACTTCTCTAGCTGTAAATTTACCTATAAGCCCCGTTAAACCTCTTCTTGCCTCCAAGGCTTTAGTCATAATAACTTCACACTGATAATCTTCTTGGTCTTTATCGTAGATTCTAGACGCACGAACTTTATCAATCTCCGTTGCTTGAGAAAGGACAGAAGCCCATTCCTCGTCTATCTTATTCATTGCTGCCATAAAATCTTCGAGTTCTTCGAGGTGACCTCGAAGAACAACTAACGTTGATTTAATTTCTGCAAGTTCATTTATGTTGTCTTGTTGTTCTGGTAAAGTTGGCATTGATTGTGCCAACAATGTGTTGAGTGTTGTAGCTGCTTTCCTTGTTCGGTTGCTGAGAACGTTGGTCATTTGTAGTTAATTCAAATACCAATTGTTATCTTAAATTTAGTAATTTAAATTAAAATTTTATTTTATTTTAGAGCAAGTCGCGTTAAAATAAATAGAAGGAGCGAATAGCGTAGCAGAGAGCAAATCGAAATGCGAATAGCGCAGGAGATAGCAAGAAGCGGAATGCAAAAAGCGCAGAGCGTTAAGCGGTTTGGCGCAGAGGCGCGGATTGGAACCCTGCGATTTATTTTATAAAGCGGGCGTGAAGCGGATAGGCGCAGATATCGCGGAGCGGGTACCCAATATAAAGAAGCTAGCTAGCAGAGAGAGATGTATAGAATAGTAGAGATGAATGATTAATTGTTCTGTGGTTGGTAAATTTGAGCCTAACCATTAAAAGATAAATGAAATTTATTTATTGTTGTTCGCTCTAGGACGATCAACTTTGTGTTGTAATTTATGAGAGAGCAACGTTGTTACACTTAGTATAAACAACAAGCGTCTTTGGGAGAAGAGCATTTTAAAATTAAAAGAATGCTTAAGTGTTGATAGAAGGAAGATGAGAAAACAAAAGTGGACAACAGAAATAAATAATTAATATTTATTAGAGAGAAGATTAAAAGGTGTAAAGAGTGGGAAAGGGGATAAAAATGAAGAAAGTAAAAATAAATGTATTGTCCTGAACTTTGGTCGTCGCGTTGAATGTTGTCCACGTGAATTGCTGTTGAAACTGTACCAATATCTGACAAAAGTGTTGAGACTCAAAAGAGTCTCAACTATTATAAATTATTAAAATTTATTTTGAAATTAAGGGTCATGTCCAGAAGGATCGTGACGGATATTTTTATTTTTAAAATTTAATTATTATACTAAAAAATATATTATATTATACTAAAAAATATATTATATTATACTAAAAAAAACCACCAAGTGCCCCTTCTTTTGTGGGTAAAATCGGGCTTTTTTCGTTTAAAAACTAATTTGAGTCGAACGAGTTCCGGGGGATTTTTTTGAGTTGTACATTAGTCCTACAACTTTTTGACGCGCATTCAGGAAAATTATAGCCGTGGCGCCAAAACGTACCTCTGCGCCGAAACGGCCGTCGGTAAAATTCAAACGGCTGTAACTCGGAGAGGTGAAGTCGGATCAAAAAGTGATTGGGGTGAGGGCCCTAAGTTGGGATAGGGTCTATAACGCTGAAAAAAAATTGGAGGCCTGGGAACAACTGTCCGACCTGTGGAGGTTGGCAAAAATTCACCGATTGTCGGTGAATTGTCCTACCTCGTCCGACGAAATTGATCGACAATTTACAAATTATATACCAATCGAAAGCTCTCATCGAGCTGAGTCCGAAAAAATTTATTTTAATTTTTTCTGACCATTTTGAAAAAAGTTACACTTCGCCAAAGGTTCAAAATGTCTTGGACCCCTATCGGGAAGGGTGGCTCCCATTGGATGTAATTATAAAAATGCTTATGAGAGGCCGAATCGCTCCAACTCTTTTTTAGTATGTTAGGGCACTTAGTTGGCTAAAATTTTGTTGGGGGCCACTTGAGTCTCGGATTTGGTTCTGGGGGTCATGAGGTTCAAAAGGTCCGGGTCGAAAAGTCGACTTTTTAATGCGTGAATTGAAAGTCGATTTGAGTTTCCTATGTTGTAGAGCGTCCTTTGAAACCTCTAAAAATATATACTTTGTTGGGGGTACACTTGAGTCTGGAAAAGTTATAGGGCAAAAAGTGACATTTTGGGGGTCAAAAATTGACCTTTATTGGGCTATAACTTTTTTTAAAATTTTTTTAAAAATAAAAGGGCTTCGGGAATGGATTCAGCACCTATCAGAGCACAATATAGCATATTTATCTCGAAGTCGAATTTTTCGACTCAGGTTCGACTTTTTGGGGGTCACACCCGGTGGGGTACCTGATTGAAAGTCTGAATGAAAACTTAATCCGGTGATGTTGTAGAGCATCTAAAACTACACTGAAATGTAAAATTTGGGCATGGTCCACTTGAGTCTCAAAAAGTTATGGCCAATGTACGCAAATGTCGTAAAACTTTTTGAGACTCTAACGTCCCTGCGAATTTTTTAAATTATTTTCGGAGGACGGTTATAGGCTCAGCGGGTCTTAATGTACTATATAAGCTTTATTTTATGTCGAAATTGAACTTTTATGTTTTCTGACACTATTTCCTTCAGGTTTTGACCTAAGACACGTTTTTTCGAAAATTTTTGCTGATTTTCAAATTTTTTATTGCAAGTGTTATATTTTTTTTAAAGCGCTCGGCCAGCCGCATCGAATAGGCTGTATTTTAATAGTTAGCATCATAATTTTAAAAATTACATTTTTTGGCGTTTTGTTATTTTTCCAAATTTTTTCTTTTTTTTTACGGTTTTATTTTTCCTCTATTCCGTTAGAAAGTTATTTTGGCCGTAGAATTATTGAAGCAAATGTGATAGTTATTGACGAAATTACTATGCTTAATAAGACTGTTTTTGAAAATGTTGATATTTTGTGCCGTACTTTAATTCCCCAATTTAAAGATACACCTTTTGCTGGAAAGACAGTAATTATTTCTGGTGACTGGAAACAGTCTTTGCCTGTGGTTAGAGAATCCTCGGCTCCTGGAGCACAAGTTGCTGCCTCAATTCAGTCTTCTGATTTATATAAAATGTTTGAAAAACATAGACTAATGCAAAATATGAGAGTAATTCCGGCGGAAATACAGTTTAAAGATTGGCTATATAGTATAGGAACAGGTCAGGTGGGCGATTCTGTAATGCTTCCCTTAGCTATGCGAGTTAATTCTAGACAAGAAATGTATAACTTTGTATTTAACACAGGCTTTGATGCACCAGTTCATGAACTTTTAAAACGTTTAATTCTTTCTCCGACAAATAGGATTGTAGATTTAATTAACGATGAAATTATAGACGTAATAGATTCACCAGTTCATATATATTTATCGCGAGATAATCCAACAAGCGAAAACCCGTTTGCGTATAACTTGGCTGATTATGACGTAGTTCAATTAAATAGACTTACGCCAATAGGAATGCCCGCCCATAATATAAAGCTTAAGGTGGGAGCAATAATAGTATTATTACAAAATTTAAATACTCAAAAAGGTTTATGTAACGGTACCAGAATGATAGTTAGGCGTTTACACCAAGATTTGATAGAAGCAGAAACTGTTAGTGGTTCCTCGGATCGCGGTATTAGAATTGGAATATGTCGTGTAAGAAATAGTTATAAAGATCTCAGACCTGATCAAGTTAGTTTCGAGCGATTTCAATTCCCTGTAAGAGTAGCGTTTTGCATGACTATAACTAAGGCCCAAGGGCAGACATGTGAACGTTTAGGTATTGATATTAGCGATGAACCTTTTGCGCATGGGCAAACTTATACCGCGTTTTCAAGGTGCAGAAGTGGGGAAAATATCAGAGTTTTCGCACCTGGGAAAATACCCGATAATAATGGGAATATTTTTATGAGAAATGTAGTAGCTAGAGGAATCCGTTTTGATTAGATTTTTTATATAGTAGAAAGAAGAAATGAAATTAAAATTTTTGTTAAATTCTCTTAGGGGTAAACTTTAAAATTTACAAAAGAAATAATAAAAGGCCAAAAGAGTGAGACCACTTCAACACTCTTTAAAAAGAACGAGACCACTTCAACGTTCTATAAAAATAAAAAAGGCCAGGCCAAATAGAGTGAGACCACTTCAACACTCTATAAAAAAGAACGAGACCACTTCAACGTTCTAAAAAAATAAAAAAGGCCTAAAGATATAAAAAATATACAAAGGCCAAAAGAGTGAGACCACTTCAACACTCTTTAAAAAAGAACGAGACCACTTCAACGTTCTAAAAAATAAAAAAGGCCAAAAGATATAAAAAATATACAAAGGCCAAAAGAGTGAGACCACTTCAACACTCTTTAAAAAAGAACGAGACCACTTCAACGTTCTAATAAATAAAAAAAGGCCAAAAGATATAACAAATAAAAAAAGGCCAAAAGAGTGAGACCACTTCAACACTCTTTAAAAAGAACGAGACCACTTCAACGTTCTAAAAAATAAAAGGCCAAAAGATATAAAAAATAAAAAGGCCAAAAGATAAAAAATAAAAAAAGGCCAAAAGAGTGAGACCACTTCAACACTCTTTAAAAAGAACGAGACCACTTCAACGTTCTAAAAATAAAAGGCCATAATAAAAAAAATAAAAAATGGCCAATAGAGTGAGACCACTTCAATACTCTATAAGTAAGAATTCCGACCCCAACGGGGCGGGGTACAGGGTTTATCCGTTTGCCCCCATGCACCTCCACGTGGTGTACCCTGGGCATTGTTATATATATTTAAAACTTTTCATAGTTGTAATTATTTGTTTTTTTCGTTTGTTATGAGTTAGTGTACTAATTATATAACAACGGCTAAGCATGGTTAAAAACGGATTGTATCTTATAGTACACTGTTATTACTTAGTTTTCCTTATTTTTAGTCGTTCTACCTTCTTTTTATATTTACTTTTTTGTAGTAAGTAGTCGAGTAGTAAGTAGTCGAGTAGTTTTGTAGTAAGTAGTCGAGTATTTACTTTTTTGTAGTAAGTAGTCGAGTTTCCTATATTAATAGTTTTTTATTTTAGTTCGTGCTTAATTGTGTTTGTTTTTTATACTTTTACCTTAAAATCTTAAATTACAAATTTTTTTCTTTTTCAGATAACAAAAAATTTACTTTTCAACCAAACTATAATAATATTTATTTTACTTTCAATTTCAATTCAACAAAAATAACAACAATTTACAGACCAAATTTTCTTTGGTAATATTTTGTTTCATACCTCCCACCCTCCAATGTTTCTCACAACTTTTTCATTCTTTAGTCTGTTATCGGTAATAAAACTCATGAGATGTGTCAAATGATACCAAAATCAACTTCCATCACACCATCACTTCCACTTCCCATCACACCCTTTCCTTTTTTATCTAAAATGTTAGATTTTTTGGTTTTAAACAGAGTTGGGCTCAAGAGGAAATTTTAATAAACACAGCCGGAACGTACCGTACTACTGCCTTATTTTTCAGTAATTATCGGCCATAATTACTATTTATCGGTAATTATCGGTCATATCCTTCCAGATATTCTTAATCCTCGGTATCCTTCCTGAGATCAGTATTAATCACGATATTATCCACATCCCTTTTATTCTTTCGATATTCCATCGAATCCGCTAAGATGACTTTCCATAATGCGGTCCTACAGCTAACTGTGAGGACATATATTTATGTAAAGATGATTCCACTATTTTACCCATATCATTTATTTGTCCACACAGAGAACTTTGAGGACGACAACTTTAATCTTATAATCTCGTTGTTGAGAAAATTTGTCCACACAGGGAACTGTGAGGACGATTAGTTTAAATTTCCTAGGGCTACACTTCTTTTCAAATACCTTTTGCTTCTATTGTCCGCGCAGAAGACTGCGAGGACAACAATTTAAATGTTGCTTGGTCCGTTGATTCCAACTATTGAGTTTGTTTTGTCTTCACAGATGACTGCGGGGACCATTAGTTATGATGTTCAAGTTGATACAATTTACCCAATACTTTTCGCTTCCGTTGTTCACATAGAGAACTATGAGAACGTGAATTTTTCAAAAATAATTATATTGATTGCAAATATCCTTTCCTCTCCATTTCTTCTTTTCCGAATTTTTTTTTCTGCTGTCCTCGCAATGAAATGTGAGGACGTAATTTTGATTGACAGATAATTACATTATTTGCCTAATATCTTTTCTTCTCTATTGTCTGGACAATTTACAGTGAAGCTGTTGTAGTTTGTCAAATCCAGGTTAATAGAATTCTCTGGCTAATGTTGATCAAGTGTGTTGAGTTGAATTTGAAATACATAATGAATTTAAAAATTTAATTATATAAATTACAAATAATGGGTACAAAATCAATAGATAAATATAAATATGAAACAAAGGAAAGATAATTTAAAATTAAATATTAAAATTAAATTCACTTACCTTACCTGATTGTTCCGTATTTGTATTGATTCCATGTTGCATATGAGAGATGTTTCATTTTGTGTAATTAATTGATAGTGATGTCCTTATGTTGTCGCAATATTCGCTGTTAGCCAGTAACGAGACTAGACTAACGTAACACTCAGGAAGTAGTTGTGGATAAAGCTGCCAAGATGAGTTGGGTTGTTGGTCTCCGAGATTTCTTTTAATTCTGATGCTGAAGAATCAATTTTATTTGATAGTTGTTTGTTCATGTCGGTCTTAGAAAAGATACCGACTTAGTTTTGTAGTTGGCCCTAACCTAAGAACGGGCTTCTGTATCTCTACCATTAGTAGAAGTCTTTGCTTCATGTTGTAGACCATAAGCCATTTTGTAAGATATCTCCTCTTGGACTAGTTGTTTTAATTTGTCTCTGAACATTTTCGTGTTCCATGCTGGGTTGTCACGTTTTGCTTCCTTGATTTCTTTTAGCATTGAATAATTTAATTTGTCCTCCAAAGAGGAACAAATAATAGGATTATTTAACTCAGCTCCGAGAGCTTCGAGTTGTCTGCAAATTAATTCAATTTCAAGTTGAAATTGTCGGACGTCTGAAAACGACCAACAGGGTTTTAGAGCAAGGAATTGTTGAATCAGGTCGTCGGTGATTGCTTCCTTGTCATCATATTTCTCTTTCAGCATGTCCAATGCAATCTTATAGTTATCGGCCGAAGGCCTAAAATAACGTACAAGATTCAATGCTTCTCCTTCCAGAAGTCCCAAAAGGTGATTGAACTTGTAAATAGGTTCAATATTCGAATTTCCCACAGTTGCATTAAAAGATTCTATAAACTCATGCCAGTGTCGAATGTTGCCGGAGAATTTCTTTGGTGGTGCCAGTATGGGGAGAGAGACCTGTTGCACAGTTTGATTCAGTGATTGGTTCGTTTGGTCTATGCTTCGATTCAAAAATTGAGTTGACTCACTTCTTTGACATATTGATTCCAATACAACTTCTCTAGCTGTAAATTTACCTATAAGCCCCGTTAAACCTCTTCTTGCCTCCAAGGCTTTAGTCATAATAACTTCACACTGATAATCTTCTTGGTCTTTATCGTAGATTCTAGACGCACGAACTTTATCAATCTCCGTTGCTTGAGAAAGGACAGAAGCCCATTCCTCGTCTATCTTATTCATTGCTGCCATAAAATCTTCGAGTTCTTCGAGGTGACCTCGAAGAACAACTAACGTTGATTTAATTTCTGCAAGTTCATTTATGTTGTCTTGTTGTTCTGGTAAAGTTGGCATTGATTGTGCCAACAATGTGTTGAGTGTTGTAGCTGCTTTCCTTGTTCGGTTGCTGAGAACGTTGGTCATTTGTAGTTAATTCAAATACCAATTGTTATCTTAAATTTAGTAATTTAAATTAAAATTTTATTTTATTTTAGAGCAAGTCGCGTTAAAATAAATAGAAGGAGCGAATAGCGTAGCAGAGAGCAAATCGAAATGCGAATAGCGCAGGAGATAGCAAGAAGCGGAATGCAAAAAGCGCAGAGCGTTAAGCGGTTTGGCGCAGAGGCGCGGATTGGAACCCTGCGATTTATTTTATAAAGCGGGCGTGAAGCGGATAGGCGCAGATATCGCGGAGCGGGTACCCAATATAAAGAAGCTAGCTAGCAGAGAGAGATGTATAGAATAGTAGAGATGAATGATTAATTGTTCTGTGGTTGGTAAATTTGAGCCTAACCATTAAAAGATAAATGAAATTTATTTATTGTTGTTCGCTCTAGGACGATCAACTTTGTGTTGTAATTTATGAGAGAGCAACGTTGTTACACTTAGTATAAACAACAAGCGTCTTTGGGAGAAGAGCATTTTAAAATTAAAAGAATGCTTAAGTGTTGATAGAAGGAAGATGAGAAAACAAAAGTGGACAACAGAAATAAATAATTAATATTTATTAGAGAGAAGATTAAAAGGTGTAAAGAGTGGGAAAGGGGATAAAAATGAAGAAAGTAAAAATAAATGTATTGTCCTGAACTTTGGTCGTCGCGTTGAATGTTGTCCACGTGAATTGCTGTTGAAACTGTACCAATATCTGACAAAAGTGTTGAGACTCAAAAGAGTCTCAACTATTATAAATTATTAAAATTTATTTTGAAATTAAGGGTCATGTCCAGAAGGATCGTGACGGATATTTTTATTTTTAAAATTTAATTGAAAAGTTTTAATTTTTATTAAATTTTAAATTTGCCTCACTTAGTCCAACCGTTGAGTAAGAAGCGCAAAAGACAATTGTCGGTAGAAGCATAGAAATTTGTATAAGTGTCAGAATTGAGCAACAGTCGAGTTTTTATGTCTTGTTTGTGCATTGGGTCTAAAGTAGTTGCAATAGAGCCAAGCAGCAACAGAATTGTTGTTTAATAGATTTATTAGATTTATTGCTGTTGTGCTTCTTTGAGACAGTAACTAGGTTGTGATAATAAAAACCGAAGGTTGTCGATGAGAACTCCACAGAGAGACCTGCTGTGAATACTCGTAGAGTAAATCACATAAAATGGAATAGGTTACAT